CCCTCGGACGGGAGCGCCGCAGCGCTTCCCAAGCGGCGCACTATCCAGTGCGCCACCGGGCTGGCCCTAAATTAGAATTTTATATTCACTCTTCTCTCTTTACTATATCATCTTTGCCCTAGTTATTTTTTTAATACCTTTATACTGTCTGGGATCCTCTTGCCACTTAAAAATATATGTATCAGAATTTAAACCACCACCATCAAAACAAAGAGCAATGCAGTCTGAAAACAGCCCTCATTTTAGAATATTATACATGACTTACAGGCAGTTCTTTTGTCTAAAGGAGGACCTGAGAATTTGCACTTTGGAAGCTCTGCAGCAGGCTGCCTAGCAACAGAACCCCTGTGTGGCCTGAACAATACTGAGGTTAAAAATTCAAATAGATTGCTTTTTGAGCTTTCAAGTTGTTTTTCACCATCTATAAGCAACATTACTCCATCCACTGGAACAGTAAATGAATTGATAACCATTACTGGGCACGGCTTCAGTAATTTCACATGTGCTAATAAGGTAAGAATATATGAAGATCTCCTTTGTACTCCTATATACTCAATAAAAGGAAGATGTTTTGACCATAACCTTGTAATTTAATTTTTATTAAAATACAATTCACATACCATNATCTATAAGCAACATTACTCCATCCACTGGAACAGTAAATGAATTGATAACCATTACTGGGTACGGCTTCAGTAATTTCACATGTGCTAATAAGGTAAGAATATATGAAGATCTCCTTTGTACTCCTATATACTCAATAAAAAGAAGATGTTTTGACCATAACCTTGTAATTTAATTTTTATTAAAATACAATTCACATACCATGCAATTCATCCGTTTAAACTGTACAATTTAATAGGTTTTAGTATATTCACAGTCATGCATCCATTACCACAATCGATTTTAGAACATTTTCATTACCTTAAAAATAAACCCCGAAACTCTTAGATTCACCCCCAATCCCTCCATCCATATCAGCCCAAGAAAACCACTAATGTACTTTCTGTCTTTATAGATTTGCCTATTCTGGACATTTCTTATAAATCAAATCATATATGTGGTCATTAATAACTGGCTTATTTCACTTAACATAATGTTTGCAAGGTTCATCCATGTTGTACAATCTATTAATAATAATTTATTTATGACCTAATAATATTATAGTG